GGGGAGAGAAGGGCTGACCGATTCAGTGCGACGCTTCAGGGCAGCTTGGCCTTTCAGGAGAGCACCACTCAACAGCTGGAATCCATTCAAACAAATATCTCCAGTCTGTAGAGCTCTATCACCACTCTCGGGCGGGAGGGAAGGTTGGAAGTGATGAGGGAACTTGCGGGGCTTGAACGGCAGGGTCGGAATCAGCACACCTCAGTCGATAGGCATATGATGGAAGTGAGGAGAGCACTTGCGGAACTCAGGGGGCAGGTGGGATATCTCCACAGAACAGTGGATAGGCGCATGACGGCTCCTATCGCTCCGGCACCACCCCCCGAACCCGAGGTTGCTGAAAATGCCCCTAGTACCGCCTAGCGTGATGTAGAGGGCCACGATGACTTCGCGGGACACAACGACGAAAGGAACAATTGTGTTAAGATGTTCGTGGATATTGAACATTCAGGAAGACAGCACTCAATCACACTAGGCACAAGGTGCACTACCCGCCAGATCAAGCCTCAACTAAAGCATATAATGAGATGCGAAGCAAACATCTTGCAGCCATTATCTGGCCTCCGCGTCGTTGTGAGGAGCATGTGGACAACAGGAGGTGCGACAGGTGTTCCGGAAGAGCTGAACATTTCAAGGAAGGGGGACCTCCAAGCAACTTAAAGGATGATCAATGCGTCTCATGCATGGGTGAACATGGAAACACCACATTTTACCATACGGTATAGGGCGCTCGGGGTAGGCTTTAACCTTACGAACAAAATCCACATATCCTAGATCTATCTTATGCTAACAAAGGTCTTAGTTCCTGCCTCATTGATTATCATGTTGGTTCCCGCTCTGTACGTTGTTTGTCGTGGTTGCCCTCACTATTCTGTTTGCAATTTTAGCGGCCATCCCCGATCAAGCTTCGAAGAGCTCCATATATGCGAACTTTGGTATGACTCCTTCGATAAGGTATGACGTCGGGAATATTCTAATGCGATTGCAATGATAGTGAGCATCGTAGCCGGATGGATTTACCGATCCTTCTCACTCACATTTGGGTAGGCTTTCCCATCGTGGCGTAACTTGTCCAGGAAAGGATTGCTGACCAAATCGCAGACTGTTGTTTCCGTAGCGCCTGCGTGCGCTGTGCAAAGGAAAAACAACTCTTTCTTGTACCTCCTTTTTACCCCTAGAAAATTAATATATTCCAATCCATTCATCAAGACCTCCATTTGGTCAAGTGCGCGCTCCTCGATTTCAACATCAAGTTTACACTTTTGCGAATATCTGTATATAGCAGGTTATTGTGTTGAAATGTTAATCCATGTTTAGAGAGAATATGCTGTTGTAGAAGTTTCCAAACCGCCAGTCCATCTGTAGCTAGCAACATATTTTATGATTTGAGCATGTTTTCGCAGCGGGGAGAGTGTCATAGACGCGTTTGCTGCAGAGCACCCTCAACGCAAAGGAGAGATATAATTCGACATGTAACCAACCTTCCTTTTCAGCGTTGCTAATTAACATTATAATGCAAGCATTCGGAGAAAAGACTGTTGCCATAGGCCAGTTAGGCTGTTGTAAATCCGAATCCGACTCCAGGAACGTTTTATGCGGGGTTTCGTTTACCGGTTATCTGATTGAAGCTGTTTGTACTGAACCGTTGGAGTGAATTGTTGGTATGGTTCTTGCGTTCCTAAATACCCGGTTTCCTGTTATACAGACAGTTTAACCGTCTATACAAACCTGGTTCCGACGCTCGAACACATCTTTATCTCGCTGGAAGGTAGTGTTCGTGAGCTTGAACAGACTATTTCACAGACTGAAAACCCAGACATGGAAGTGCCGTTTGGATGGTTCACCCCACCGGCCCAGACCCCCGGAGTAAACCGTTGTCGCTTTTGAATATATGGTAAAATGTAGGTTATTCTGCTGAGGCACTCCCTTCAGCAGTAGGAACGGGGTTTTCTCTTTTCAGCGAAGTTGAACCCAACTGAACAGAACTGCTCTGACTGACAATTATGTCGACTGAATCAAAACCGGTTTATATATTGCGAACCTTTCTGAGGTCTTGGCACTAGTCTAACAAGAACTCCGCTCCAAAGGTGTTCAGGGTTAGGGTTTCCGTACTTTGTATGCGGCGTTCCAGTTGCTCAAGCGGGAAAATGAACCGAACATAATAGTGGGGAGGCGGGGCTGGGTGCTGTCTTTCAAACGGTTCTAGAAAACTGGGTGGAACTGATAAACTGAAAAACCGTTGGAAATACTGGAAGGCAGTTGGTCTGGTGTACTCATGGTGAACGGAGGAAGTGTTCGAAATACAGAACAATGCATGTCTTTATCCCTCGTTTCTCCCTCTCGATACAGCGGAGGCTATCCGCTCTTATATACGCAGCGCCTTTCTGTCATCATGCTTGTCTACTCTATCTCCGCGCGTACGCCACCCCCGCGAAACCACAACCCCACCCAGTGTAGCGTGCAACCATATATAATAACCACAATACTCCACACCTCAACACCACTTTAACCCAACGTCTCCTACTATATACCCCTCGCCCTGTCTGCTCACGAATCAGCGGTCATCTACTCTCTCCAACCCCCCTCCTGTAGCAATGGGCTATACAGTAACGCCCCCTCCTGCACCAAACTTCTACATGCCACCCGAATTCTTAAGAGATCTGGTTAAAGACACGCTACAAATACACATACGAGTACAGACGGCTCTCCTATCAGTACAGGCTCTTTCCCTCCGAGGAATATCAGCTGGACCAGGCGCTTACAAGGGTCGCAAAGTATGCTTCCCCTACCAAGTGGACCAACCCTGCGGCGTTCGATCTAGCCGGAAGTATGTGTAACCTTCCGGTGCCCTCTCCATCGTATCCTCTACCCTTTCCTCCGCTGTCTGATGCCACCTCGGTCTATTTTACACGATGTGTATTTTACCCGCTAAAGACGCTCACACAACATAAAACAGTTATCGTAAACGGGAAGCGCTATGTAGACGATGAAGCGTACTGGGAGGGTCTCCTCGAGAAAGACGGTGAGTACCAGATAGCTTACGGTATCTCACCCCCACCCTCCCATCGGCACCCCTTCCACATCCTGCGTCTAACCCCTCAGTACGCCGTCCCTTTAGCAAAACACCCTTGGCCCTCTGGCTCTGGGATTGGGCCCACCACACCCCTCTCATCGACACAGCGTCCGTCCCACCCCGCAATCCCGCCTACAAAGCCAGCACCGCCGTAGCCCGCCTCCTAGCCTGTGGCCTAACACCGTACACGCTTCCAGAGACCACCCGCACTTGGACGCTCTACAAGTGGTGTGCCAGCATCCCATCGTGGGTTATAGAACCCGGGGGCGAATCCACCGATGACGACGTGGTTCTGGGGGAATGCGGTTTGTAGGCCTCCGGCTGTGTGCCCGAGGCGATGGCCGCAGCCTACATGATGGATCGGGGGGTGGTTTTTATACTAGGGCGGTGGTGTCGTAATGTGGTAACCTCAGTTGCAGCACCTCCGGGTGGGTGAGGGCGTCATGACGTATGTATATATATAACGACTATGTGACGTAAGAAAATGGCCAATGGGTATATTAGATGGCCATACAGCTTTCTGGCTTACGGGTATCGGATGCACCCTTCTTTTATGAGGCCGTCCTACTCTTGAGAAGACCCATATTACCTCAGATCGCCGACATCCAAGTTATGAGAGATCCAGAGCCAGAATAGTAGGAGAACGACTTGAACAATGCATGCATATCTCTCCAATTGGCATCCTTGGCTAATTTATTAGTTTCCCGGCGGAAGGCGCCTGGAAAAACTGTCTAACTTAGTTGAAGTGAAGTTAAACGGTGAAGTTGAACCATGAAGGTTGGATTAACAGACACGTGACGGCTTATCAGCGGCGAGCAATCAGCGATACTTACCATGAACAAGAAACCTATAGATTACTAAAGCAAAATCCCTCCACTGAGGGGTTCCAATGGTAGAAACCGGATGATGGATAAGATAAAACCGCGCCGATCACTAAATCGGCAAGCCCAAACTGTGCCAGCTGCAACAACCATTTATCTTGACAATTTGAAACGGTTTCACTGTATAAGCTGTGGTTCTATGTCTTGGCATATATACCCCAATGGATTCCGCAAAATACGTGTTCATGATCTCCGGAACCGGGTGCTCGAGCACCGAAACCAGGTATTAGACCCCACCAAAAGGGCTTAAATAAACCGTTTGAACCGTGGGTATAACTGGCTTTGAACATTGTTAAACCGTTTTAATCAATTGTTGAAGTGAGTAAGAACTCTTCACTTATACGGTTCAGTTGAACTGGTTTGAACTCCATAACCGGAAACCCATTGGAACCGTCCCGGGTCTCCTATTCTTGCTCAGGCATATTTGTATTGAGGGCTTGACCCGGCCCAACCTCAAATTCAACAGGGCGACTGGGCCTATGGTATTCATGTCCGGGCAAGCACTTTTGGGCCGACACCCATTGGAGCCCCAGGTATATATGGATATAGAACCAATGCGTGTATTCACTGAGTAAAGCGGTTTTGCAGCTTTTATACAGCACTACGGCCGATATAAAGAGTTGGAATATATCACCCGCACCAGTCTTCGGACTACGAACCCGGTACCCTCGAACGGCATTTTTTATTATACATCACATCCCTCGCTGATAAACCATCCCCCCCCCCCTCTAAAAGAAATAAAAAAGAAAAAAAAAGGTCCCCAATCCCGGGAAGCTTCCCAAGAATCATTGACAGTTAACATAGATCCTAAAACCTAATAGATAGATGTACACACCGGTGAAGCCAGCCATGCCCGCAATCCGAAGCCTACTCCCATTCCCGTCAGATCCCAACAGCCAGCAAAATAAAGATTTCACGTTACCCGTCGTGTAAGACGTGATTTCGCGATCGTACATAATTGCCCCACCTTAACTACACGTACGCGCACCCAACCATCTTCCAAACCACAATCTCTCTGCATCTGCACATCCAAAGACCGCGGGACTATGAAGACAGCATTATCATCGGTGTTTAAATATGCTGCTGAGCCAATGTCAGTTCCCCGCGCTAAGGCGCTTGACAAAATCGCTGTAACGGTCAATCAGCGTGGGACACCGTTTGACGCAGCGGATATGAAAGCAGCCATGAGGGTGCTGCGTCCCTGATCTGCGGAGCAAGTATCGGTACGCTAGTGTCACCTCCAGCCTCTCCGTATCGTTGTAGTTATTCGTTTCCAGAGCTGACATGACGTGCGGTTTAGGATGCCTTTGTACTCCGACTCGAGCTTCCTATTCATCTTGACGGATCTCTTGAAGCCCCGCAATCACAAGCTTTGCAATCACAAGCTCCCTCGCCATCACAGTATTCCAGACCAACAGAGTCTGCTAGATTGACACGAGACTAACTTGGTGCTCACGACGTACAGAAAACCCAGGTACCCTTTAAGTTTCTGGGAACCGTGGAGCATATGTACACGGGCACAGGAGGAGGAGGAGGAGATTGCGGGGACGTATGAGCCCGAGTACCATGCACCACCTTACGAGGATGCGGTGGCTGCAGAGCCCATTGAAGCTGTTAACCACTCCCCCGGTAATCCCACCTTTCCACCCACACTCGGACTCGGACCCGTAGGAGCACGTATGGTGGGCGATTTACTGACATAACCTTAGTGTCCTACCCTACCTTGCCGATACCAGCTACACAGCTTCTTCCAGATTTAACCAGGTCTCCGAGGAAGGCCATGCTCTCGGAGAAGGCCAGGAAGCTCTTGAGCCACAGAGACAGGTTTTAAAACACCAATCGGGTGACTGGAGACCGGCGGGTGACTTGCTTAGTGTCGCCATCTTTTTCCGAGATATCGGCACAGAAGGTTCTCAGGACTTGGTACTATCACCTATGTAAATCTTTGTATAAGGACATTACTAACGGTCTATTATCCTAGGTTAATCTACTTTACCGGGGGACTACAAAAAGTAAGAGCAAAGTCAAGACGTTCAAACCAGACGCCTCTCACACTCTTTCTGCTCAATTGGGTGTCTGGAGGGAACAACGGGCTACTATGAAACATGAGGCTCAAAAAAGACGCCTGAACGCCGAGAAGGCCGCAATGTTCAAATCGAGATACGCAAAGAGATTGATTTCCAATCTTTGTCTTTACGCTCTCGTAGTGTCAAGAGACAGCGTATGGAGTAGCCTTATTATAATCAGTAGCATACCCTTAATAACCCTTTTCCCTCAACATTCCTTATTACTTTACTCTTTCTCTTTGTGACCACATTGTAGCCTAGAATTACCGTGTCTTTCTATATGGTAATCTTTAGTTAAGGGAAGCAGATATATCGGAGAATGAGATCTAAGCTCACTTTTTATTTTATATTATTCTATTCTACTACTGTTTTTATATTGCTACCTCATCTATTCCTTCGCAGGCGAAATAATAATTTTTTTCTTGGGGGATGGTGGAAAACCCCCTAAGTTGGGGATGCCTGAATGCCTGGGTGGTTAGATATTAAATAGATCTTGGCATTTACCGTTGCCATATACTGGAATATGGTTTTTTCGAAAGTTCTCGCACCCTGATTGGTCGACAGCCACAGGGGGTTTAGTACAGCTTGCGGTAAGATTATTGTAGAAATATGGGAGGAGTCCTATTGGCTTGCCTAGCCACAGAAACCCTGTTTTTAGACCCTGCTTCTACAATAATTTTACCTCTCGCGGTAAGCACGACACATCGAAATTGGTGCAGTTACCCTGCTTGCTCGCTTGCACGCCTGTTGCTATGCACCTCCAGGTAGGCACGCTGCGTGCGCTCTGACCCCTAACCCTGACTGACTCCTGCATGGCAACCAGTCCACCCCAAAACCTATGATATTGGCAACTGAAGCTCTACGGTTCACGCCCTAATATTTATTTAAAAAGGTCTCTGTATAATTCTATTTATTTAAAAAGGTGTATGTATAATTATAAGACCAGCCGCCCAAAAATAGACATAGCAACGTTGACAACACGTCTCGGTGGTGTAGTGGTTTGCATTCTCAAGAATCGACTAGGTGGGTAAGAGTTGTGCGAGGGGCCGGGGTTCAACTCCCTGGGCGGGGCAATGTTTTTTTTGTCTCCCCCCCTACATAAGAGAGCTATCATCCGAAGGGGGTATCAAAAGCCATAAATTCATTAATGGGGCGTGGTACGGTAAATTTATTTTATTAACTGGGTGGTATGGGAGATACCTTAAATGAGGTATTCGCAGCAGAATGATGGGTTCAAGAGGTCCCTTCACTGGCGGGGGTATCGAGATGGAAGGCCCTACGAAAGGCACAATTAATTGGAGTAAAAGGAGCTCGCGCTCGCGAGTTCGGCCACTGCTAGTATAAGTGTATGGTAAAGTGGTAGCCTATCCAGAAAACAGGGCCAAACAAGCCACACCACTAGCCACTCTCCTGTGCTTCCTTCATCAACGTGTCATCCATGACCGCCGAGTTCGAACTCCTTGCGATCACTCGAGGGGAAATGAAGCGTACGACCGGGGTGCGATACGAGTCCATAAATCTTTCCTCGCGCTCTAGCTATTCCGTATGATCGAGTTGAAAGGTTTTCCTTTCTCGTCAACGTCGTTGCCTCTGGTAGGCGTGATGCATGGGCCGGGCAACTCTGACGCAGGGGAGACTGCTATATATAGCCGCCCAGTGCATTGGCCCATCAAACGTTTTTTTTCTTTAAATCGAAAGAAAATGTTCCGGAAAAACGTACGTATCGCTTGATATGCAGCGTGTATCAATCCTCGGAGGCCTAGGAGGAGCTTTTTTTGTACCACCCGAGACACGGGTGGTCACTCGTTTGTCTTAGCTCCCCCGAGCGTAGACTAACCTTCCTGGCGGCACTGTTGTTTGTATTCAAGACCTCAAGGACCGGTGTATTCCTCTCTGCTTGTGTGCGGAGTTGTAAAGCCAATAGAACATTGTATATCAGGCTCCGAGACCCTGGCATCGGCGCTGCTTTCGCGCGGGTAGGTGGGATGGCGTGCTACTGAACTAAATCTACCATCATGGAAACCTTTGGTTGGCCGTCGGCTCACCGTACTGCTGTTGATGAGAAAAGGAAATTTACTACCTGTGGAACTGAATTAGCTCTGCTCTCTATTATACTATAGTCTATTCTTGACCGCTACCATATCTATCCTTAATATCAGATCTCTGTCTTTATCCTCCCTCCGGCTATAGCTATCCAGCAGTTGTTTACGTAGCTCGCCCAACTGATGGTCTCGTCGCTGGTATATTTCCATGCCGAATCTTTTCTGTAGTGTAGTTAGAACCATGAGGTACAAAACAGGTAAGGTGTAGGAAGATTTCTCAAAATTAAACTCACAACACTGGTTGGAGCTGGACCTTTTCACTGGTATCCCTCCAATCATGGCTTATGAGAGTGAGGACCCTGAGCAAGAGAACCTGGCTCCAGAGATCCTCGTCATAACCGTCGTCGGGATCCGGTTATATAACTCTACAATAATCACTAGGACTGCCCGTCGGTAATGGCTGAGATCGAATATTCACAACCTTCCCTCCCCCACCCCTGTCAATGAGGATAGGCATCCACCTGGGCCTTTGCACCCCCAAGCACGCAAAACGTTCTGCGCCCGCCACCACTATAAATACCCTTCACCGAACGTCCTCCATCTTCTTCTTCCTCCAGTCACCATTACAAATAGGCTCACAACCAAAAGTCAAGTTTTGAGTCTAACAACCAAAAAAAATACAACCACTCCACACATAACCCAACACCCTACCTACCTCACTCAACATGCCTTTCATTGCTATCAGGAATGCCTACCGCAGTCTCCGCGCTCGTCGCATGTCCCTCGACACCTTTTTCTGCTTCGTCGTCAACATCTTCAAGCACCAGATGTTCCACCTCACTATCTTCTTCCTCCACATGTGGAGATTCTACGTTGTCATCGGGCAGCAAACTCATCCAACCACTGCCATGGTATGCACCAATACCACTTCGGTCGTCGTCAACCTCCCGAAGTACCAGGAAGTCTACTACCCTGTTGGGAACAATCAGCAGGCTTACAGAATCCTGCGTTGGAGAGAGGACGTAGATTACGTCAATGGACACCCCGAAACCCGCATGGTCGAAGTCAAGGGATCGGTCTACGAGTACAGCTTTGAGCCGATCGTGAGAGGGGCTAGTGGTATCCATGGGGTGGACAGAGCGCCGAACGGGGATGTGGCTGCGTGGGTGGCTGCGGTCCCTCGTCTGCATGGTGGATGGGTTATCTGAATGGTGTTTCTGTCATTCACATGCTTGGGGTTTATTATGGGTACGTCGATTTTGTGGTCCCCGGAAACTTTGTGATATCTGCTATATCGTGTCAGAGCTATAGCCTTTTGCGAAATCTGAATTTTAAATTTGCTTTGAAAAAATTGTGCTTCTTCGTGGCTTTGTACTTAATGCAGTAAATGCTTGCCTGCCTTTGTGATATGACTCCATGATTTCTCTGCGCTCCATCTTCTGCTCGTGGCCCAAAACCTTCCAGCCAGAAAAGACCGATTCCCTTTCTTGATAGGCGTGAGTAAAAGATATTGTAATGCGACCGTGAGATCAGTCAATCCGTTGAAAAAAAGGCATGGTGACAATACCGCTGGGTTGTAGAAGATGTTGTTGGAGATGGTGGAAAAAATCATGGGAGAGTTCACAAGCAGAAGAGGTGGTCACTTTTTCCCCTTATCCGTTAGTTTATCTATGTGGCCTCCCGCTCCTAGCCCGAATTCATGCCTTCACTCGCCTACACAAGCCCCTACTTTTAATCTTACAAGTCCCGGTCAATTACGTGTATGCACATCTCTGGTGCAAACAATACTCAAACTTCAAAAAATAAAGAATTCATCATGAGTGGTGAGGTTATCCGTGTGGGTTAGGGTTTTTATGCTCATGCAACTGAATGTCGCGTTGCCCAAATATATATATGTCAACAAGGATATGGCCCTACAACGAGCTTCCTCCATGGCCAAACGCTCGGAAAAGAAATACGTGGAGACTATCTACGTATGGTCAGCTCTCGCGGTGATCTACCATTTCCAGTGGGAGCGATGTGTAGGGGGTGAATATAGGGGTTATGGTATCATTCGTGTCATTGCAGCATCGATAACTGTACTTATACTTCGAGTGAACTTTCGTTCCCGCTAGAGTGTTTCTTTATCTCTAACCGCCGTAGCGCAACAAACACCACCGCGATGCATTCGATATTCATCAACTCTATCTCCCTCTCAGTCTTCAAGTGATTCAACTCATCAGTAGCTTCTACAACTCTGAGGGGTGTAGGATTGGGTAGGGGAGCCATACATCAAGGTGGAGATGGACAAGAGTCGAGCCGGTGGTGATATGGGCTTGAGAAGCCTTGTTTCGTTTCATGACGGATAGGTATACCACACCCACTGCCAGTCTATAGATATTGAGAAAGAACCTATAGCTCAGTTAGTTGACAGATGCACGTACCTCCCTTCAGAGCGGAGTCACGATAACTGAACTATGCTCTATTCTACGCTAATTGGCGCCCCCGGCCCCGGGAAGCGCTCTAGGGTCTTTATCGGCTCCCCCAGGAAGTATAAGCGTATTATCAGGGTCCTATAACCGCCTCTAGTATTTTGAAGCTTACTCTTAAGATATCCCGTTTTGTCGAGGTTGGAGTCCCATCAGGTAGCCATGTGAGTGAACCGAAGACCCCCGAGACTTCGCATTTGTGGCCACTGCATAGTTAAGATTGAAAACTCTTATATTCAACATTTTCGGTACTGATGTGTTATTGTTCTTACGCCTGGGGTGCGTTCGACTGTGGCACAGAGACGGGCGCTATTGCCGCCACTTATCCATGTTGAGAAGCAGGTTGAAGAGCAACCTACCGAGGTTTCATTTCTCACTCCCTCCTCCCATATCCAAGAGAAAGCTGCAAGTTGGAATCGTGAAGATTGGACTGGCGGCCCCAGTTAGGTGGAATACCGGAGGTGCTGAATAATTGTCTACCCCGATTTATGTGGAGTACCTGGGTAAATGGACGCCTTCCCGTAAGCTATAGCGGGTGCTCTATCGCCGGACAGACCAGACCTTGGTGTTCTAACGAATAGAACAGTGTGTCTATTTGTTTCCTATAGACCCCCTTCAGAGGGCCCCGGGGGGGGGGTCTATTTGATTCATGAACTCTATCCATTCATCTTCGCATGGGGCAATAGCCGGAACGATCATTTATCGTGACTATAAAGATGCGGGACTGCATGTATTATGCGTGGTTAAATTCCAGAAACCTATGCCGCTGGGGGTTATTATCTACAACAGGATTAATGTGTGGTTCCACAAAAGACCCTAACCCAACCGAGTCAGATCGCATGATGCAGAAAGTAAACCTAACCCAGCGAGTGATCGAACGTGCTCCACCACGACACCACTGTGGTCGTACGTCACCTTCATATGGTATTTCTTCAATGATGTACACTAGAATTGGGAATGCTTAGGACCCCGAGAACGTATCGATTACTGTGGTTGTGGCTTATTCACCTACTCCCTTGTGTTGCAGGGGTTGGAAGCCAAGTGATAATATATATGTGATTCCCAGGAATACGTACTCTAGCAATACGAAGAGAAACGCATCACAGCGATCAAGAAGGAACGCTAGTAGTGCAAATTCAATGAGGGTGCGTGTCATTCTGCCATTCAAAGAACGAGTGCATGCCCTCGGGCGGCGGACGAAAATAGAATGAGTGGGTTCGGAGTTTCGGTGGCGGTTTTCGACAGATTGATTCCGGTGATTCTGTTGATTCAAAAAAGGGGAAAAAAAGAGCAAAACAAGAAAAAACCTAGGAAAAGTACACTCGTAGGTTATGCCGCCACTCGATTGCTACAATTATTTTCCCGTATCTCCCATATAATGGCGTGAAAACTCTCTTCAAGGGACGAATACATACCCCGGTGGAGGGACGGAACTCAATAATCATTTTGGAAAAGATTGGGCAACTACAGTTACAATGGCACTTTTCGTCGCATTCGTTGCTATTTTCGTCCTGTTTTCCCCATTGATCGTCGTAAGAAGCATCCGTCAATATAGGACCTCACTCCACCAGCCCACCCACCGTCATAGAATGCTAATTCCCATCAAAACCAGTTTTTTCGCCCAAAACCACATCTTCTGTCATAGAATGGGTGTTGTTGAAAACATTTTTCCATTCTAACCACATTTTCGGTCGACGAAGAATTCTTTTATCTGTGATATAGAAAGGAGCCGCGCACTAGCGCCGCCTCCGTCGGTCGACGTATATAACGAGCGGCCGCCCGTCCTGTTGTGACACTCTCATCGCACATGGTCACTGTGCCAACGCGGCTGTGTCAACAATGTTCGACGTTGCCAGCCAACAGAGATCTTGTCATGGTCGTCACTCGACACATCCTCACCAACGTCCGCAGCCTCGTCCGCCAATTGAAGATGACCAAGTCTCAACAATATCCGCAGCCTCGCCCGCCAATTGGGGCTGGCGGATCGTATTCGACACCACTATTTCGCCCCGCAGATAGTTGTGGTAGGTATATCCCTTCTGTCGATGATTGCCTGTGATAATTGACATCCTGAATGTAGCGGTGGACCACAAAAGGCGCAGTGGAAACACCAGTGGAAGCCTGGTGCTAAAAAGTAAGAGCATCCGCTCTATCTCTAGGGATTGACAATTGATATTAACGATTTATCAGAAAATTACCCAACAATGTCCGTAGCCTCGCCCGCCAATTGGGGTCGACGGATAGTTGACGGGGCATCATCAACATCAATAGCGTTGTATCCCCGCGGGTGATGCTAGTGAGTATATCGCTCCTGTCGAAACTTGAAGGTAGTAATTAACATCCTGAACCTAGGGGTGGGCAAGAAGAGCACCAGCGGAAGACCGCCATCAAAATGTAATAACATCGCCCTTCATCACCTCAGATTAGCAATTGATAATAACGATCGATCAGAAACTCCCCTTAACAATCTCTGCAGCCTCGTCCCCCTTTCACCGAGGCGTCGGCAGCGGAAGGCCAGACGTAAGATAGATTACCTACCTCCAGCGACCTTTCCCAATTATTGTATATCTAAGCAACTGCTAATAACTGGTATCAGAACCCCGAGGCAGGCTCCCGCGCGTCAATGGGTCCGAGGAGGGAAAATCATAGTCCCCCGAAGAAGCCTCTGCCTCCCCCCGCCTACCCCACCTCAGGCAACATCACTGCGGTGACAGGTCCGGAAGGGGAAATCATAACCCCCGACTGGGCCTGCTCCTCCAACACCACCAAATTAAATAAGAATAACCAGATCTAAAGTAAGTAGTCACCTTCTACCATATCTTGAAGTTCGAAATGACTACAGATAGCATCAGCTAACATGTCTGAACCTAGTAGAGAATGGACGCACAGAACCAACACCAGGCCCAGAGCGGGGGGGGTGGGCGCCTCCGGAGTGGAAGTCCAGGTAAGAGAACATACATCTTTTCAACTGACAATAACAATGGACAGAAACTAACAGACTGTGATGAGTGCTAGGAGGATACTGAGGGTGCCAGAGATTCCGTGGAAGCCCCCCCCCACCACCACCACCACCACCACCACCACCACCACAGCCACCATCGCCTCTTCCTCCGCCTCTACGGCTGCCAATGACACCCAGCTCACTCCCGCAAGGGAGGCTAGATCTGACCCTGAGGAGTCCGGCGCTCACGAGGCGGGCGTGGGTGATAGTGGGGTGGCCCCGCCTATCCGTAGGCGCGGGAGGGAGGAGCCACGAGTGGGACTGTGGGAGAAGACCAAGGCAGCGGCCTTGAGGGGGGGCAAAGAGGCACCAAACAGCCTCAACGTGAAGGGGATGCTTTCGGGGACGAAGAAGGCGAAAGATTTGGAGACGCGTTAGGGTCGGTGTTCCTGGTGAGTATCTTTCTGTTTGTACGTCGCAGGGAATCGAACTAATAGAGGGCGGATCCGTTTAGACTTCCGGAAAATGGAGATGGTGTAGCTGAGCAGGGTGATGCTGCCAGCGATACCATCGCCGATGTCGACGTGGGGGCTGGCGAAGAGGACCCCACTGAACCAGGCGCACCTCCCCCTACCGTCATCGACAAGCGGGGCCGAAAAGAGCCCTCAAAGGGTAGGGGATGGAGCTGGCAGAGGACGCGGGCGCCGGCTTCTCGCGGTTCCTCGGGGGGTGTTTTGGTGTCAAGAGTGGCATCAAAGGTTTAGGGCGGGCCAGGATGATGCGAGCGTGACATTAAGAACGTTCGCATCATCTTGTGCTTCAGGCCAACAGAACCGATAAAAAATGATTACTTTCTAATATCCGAAGCCTCGATACCCTTACCCACCGCTAGGGCGCAGGGGATTGGTGCTAACCCACTGCATTTTTATCAGTGAGTAGTCTTCTCTTACTTCTCAAAGTGTCCTACTTCTCCGCTTACGGCATTAGCTAACACGTTCCAACCTACTAGTAAAGATGAACAGACAATGTTCCAGCTTTGCTGGCAACAAAGGATCGAACTTGGAACCCCAGATAGATCTGGGGGGGTTGATCAAAGTAAGACCAATATATTTCCTTTCTCTCTACTGCTCCACTGGAATTAGTACTGACTTGCTTTCAGTAAGCACTCAACAATATCCGTAGCCTCGACTAAGCCCTACAGATACCTCGGTATCCATACACAGCGGGGACAGAAACGCCCGGGCTAGGCCCAAATAGCCCATAAATCGGGGATATAAATCTAAAGTGCATTAAATAATTAAAATAGATGCAGTTCAAATTTTCTCAGCACATTGAATCTTTTTTCCATCTACAAAATGTATTTTGGTGTTCGAAAAATGCCAGTTTTCCTGCCCAAGCCCAGGGACCATAGCCCCAGCCCGAAAGGACACCGGCCCGGCCCAGCCCAGCTATGTAAATAGAGGCCCAGCCCAGCCCAGCCCATCAACAGCCCGGGCAAGCCCATATCAGACGGGGCCCATTGGAAGCCCTGACTCTGCCCACTCAACAACATCCGCAGCCTCGTCACGCGTACAGAAGCGCTGCGTTGGCAAGTCCGGTTGCCACCTGACATAGTGGCAACTATGAAGTGAGTATATCGGTTCTGCTCCTCATTGAACTCAATTTCTCTCCTGTATGGTATTAGCTAACGTCCTAAGCGTATTTGAGCATCTAAGTCGCAATCTCATAACACCACAAATCCTTAACAATTATGAAGTAAGTAGATCTCTTCTGGCTCTCATTGAAGTCAATTTCATTTCCGTATGGTATTAGCTAACATCCTAATAGTAGTGCCAATAAGAATGAAAAAGAGAATTCGCATGAGCAGGAAACTCATAAGGAGCTGCCCCATGTAAGCACAACTCTAGCTTGTCCTATGTATTGCAGGCAATTACTGAATGTTGTGCTTAGAACGGGGAGGAGGTGAAGGACCTCATGTCATTGCGCCTTGGGGGTTAAGTAAGTACATTTGAACCTCTCTAACATGTACTTCATATAGTCACGAATGCCCTAAACTAACGTTACTATATATAGCTAGTAATTGAATACCTAAGGGAGGTATATCCTAATCCTATTTCCTACCTCTTACCTCCGAGCATCCCTGCATTTTTAGGCCGGCCTTGGGGGAGAGGGGATGGGGGAGAGGGGGTTAAACCAGTGACCGGAGGTATCCCAGGAAGGGGTTGTACATTGTTTAATATAATATAATATAGATCTAAATCACATCCAGTTTTCACCTTTTTGACTACTTTTGCCTTTTCAGTTAGCATTATAGCACCTCCGGTACTAAAAGCATTCTGTTGGGGGCAAATCAATGTAGCCTTGCGGCATTCCTTTGACACTAACCATATCCTCTAGAATTCCAATACCAAGAACATGGAAGTAATAGCAAGTCAAGGTTTAGTTTCTTGTAGCAGATGGATGTAGTAAACGATTTGACTTCCCCAGTATCGAGACATGTAACATATCGTCTCACCGGTTGTTGACCACGCATCTGCCACCTCAACCTCAAAAGGACAGCTTGCGTGGGGTTTGGTATTCTGACCGACCGACTGTTATTGCCATCCTTGCCGGTAACAAGTCGAAAGAATGGGCTCAACAGTACCAAATTTGATAGGTCTGAGGACCCCTCCCTGCCCGAAACTCTCCCCCGGAAATGCGCCACCAACGCCGGTAAATGGTCCATACTCCATTTCAGGAAAAGCTGGAATAGAACAGAACAGAATTAAACCGAAGTAAGAGGCACACCGCTGGACTAACCGAGTAACTCCTCCGTTACAAAAACTTCAGAGCTGTTACATCAATGGTATTTAGGGTTAGGGCTATGGTGGATTAGCAAAAAAGATGTCAGTGTGTTGTATGAAGCGTTCCGGCCGGGCACAAAATAGGCTTCACCCAACAAGGCACGAACTGAACGGAGAGAAACATATTGTGAAGAGGTAAAATCGAACTAAGCTGTGTCGCTAAACATTTCTGGAAAATTGTACTCAGCTGATAAAGTAGAACGGTGGAGATATGCCCCCCCCCCCCCCCCAAAAGCGGTTTTCTGCCATATCTAAGGGCGGAAGAATAGCAAGAGGTGTGTTGCGTGTGAGGTTCCGTAGGCAGAGACATTTATTACTAGGCTCTTATTCGGTTTTTTCCGCGAGAAAGTGACCTCTGAGCTACTAGCAATGTCGCTTAGTATATTGGTCACGTGCAGGCAAGGCGTCGCAGTCAGCGGCATAGTAGTAATGAAGGCCATTGACGAACACTTTGACATGACCACGAATAATTGTACAGATTGTAATTAACCATGAAAGTTGTTATCCCCTCCGTGATCTCTTATCTGCTGTAGTTTGTGTTGAACCCCCAAACAATGTTTGTTGATGAGATCTATAGGAATCGCCTCCCACTCCATTTTAATTATTCTTTTGGCCTCCTCTTTTGCAGCCTGACTTTGGCCTGATAAATGGTGCCGAGATACCGCATTTTTGAGGTACATCCAGAGAGATTCTATCTTGTTCACATCAGGTGAATTTGGGGGCCATATCAATCCTTTGATACCAAGTCTCTCCCTCTCCTCCTGTGACAGCCGTTTACAGAGAATATGAGCAGGAGCATTATCTTCTACAAGCCACATCTCACATCCAGTCTCTCTCTGTACCATCTGAACAAATGGATATAGAAGAGGCCGACAGATCTTCTCCCTATACAAAATCCTATCAATGCCCCCATTTGACCTATCTCCTCTTTTAATAATCTCCTCTTTAAATTCCTATTCTGCCCTTCTTTTTTGACGTGAGCGACTAGAGGGCAATGGACTAGCCTGATCTAGTTGTTTGATGTGTTCGTTGATGTCTGAAAGAATTCGGTATTCTTCAGTCCCAGGCTGCGTGGCTAATCTTTGCTGCGTAATTTGACGCTCTTTCTTCTCATTATTTTCCCGGTTCACTATATCATCGTAGAATTGTCTTTCTTCATTTGTTTCCTTCTCCCAAATAAACAAAGGTCCACGATAGCCAAAGGATATACAGCTCCATATCATGAATTTAGCCCCAGCTGGTTCTTTGACTCGGTGGTGTGCATAGTCATACGGATTCGATCCTACTGGCCTAGTAATGCGACCGTGGCGGTTTTTTGATTGTGCATTAACCTCAATAAAACACTCATCCGAGAACATCCAGCAATTTGCGGGAATACCATTGGCACGATCCACCAGCTCAAGTCGTTTTTCCTTGTTTTTTCGATCCAAGGGAGGTTTGACAATTGAATTGAATCGTCCTAGGTGATGCTGATTGTGCATTACCCGTTCAATAGTGGTACGTGATGCGACTATTCCAACCTCATCCGCTATGTCCACCCATTTCTTCTCTCGGTGCTCTTGGTCTTGAAGCGCTACCTCTTTTAACCTGGTTGAGACTTGAGACTCGGGAGGTATAATTTCCGGTTTTCCAGGTCTTTTTTGCCCCTCTAATGCAGTATAGAGATCTCTGGTAGTTTTCTCTCCGGGGGCATTCTCCTATATCAAATCATTAACCCTTTAGAACACATGAATATTGGGTCTATAGTACGTACCCTTGCTCTCTTGCAGATCAATCTCGCTGTTTCTGGATGAACCATTAACAGCTTAGAGATCTCTGTCCACGACATATTTGTGAACAAATGGAGCGTAAGAATAGCGGCCCGAATGGGCAAAGAAATCTCCTTTGATCCGCAGCTCTTTCCCATGCTATTGGTGTTCGCCGTTGTCAACTTGAATGGTGGGCGTCTCAGTTGCGCCACTGACCTCAACGCCTTGCCTGCACGTGACCAATATACTAAGCGACATTGCTAGTAGAGTTGCCTCATCAAGCGCCGTGGTGAAAACGTGCAGACCCCCGAGCTAGCATACCAACATCTCAACCTCGACAGCGAAGGGGTGCTAAATAGACAGGGTCCGGGATCCGGGACAGAAAGTCTCTTGCAATGGAATATATGAGCAGAAGATCCATCACGAAAACCTAATAGGCCAAGGTTACCGCCAAGTATTATTCGTTCGCTGTAGTGGTGTAGACGTTGCCCTTGCCGTTTCTCAGCGAAAAATCTTTGGGGGCGACCCAGATGTTTCCTTTATTAGGTGAATTCGAGGTCGAGCTAATATATAGCGCCGAAAATCGGCGACTGGCGATTATGGCAAGTGTATTTAGTGAAACGGGGGGTGGGGTATATATTGATAAACGTGCGCGGCATCGGTGCACCCCCGGATTCCACCATCACGGCGATTGATGCGAGAGGGGTATCGAGATAGGATTGAAGCAGTAAAGAGGCACTCGTTCTTTTATTCCTTGAATACTCATGTTAGTCAAGTTTGCGGAATTTCGATCTCGGGGTTTAGTTTCAAACACCACACTTACCAGATGCGGAGGTTGGCTAGCAAACAAGTAGGTAGTGATAGGTTTATATTCCGTGTAGTTGTTATTCATATACTACTGACCGTATCTCCTATCTCTCTTAATTTCTCCTAACCTATAAAAGGTCAGGATAAAAGAAATTAAGCAGCTAACGGGTAATGATTAGCCCTGAAACCAGGCTCCCGACATAGATTCGAACGTTAAGGTGTACGTACTGGAATACGCTGGAACAGCCCTTCGACAAAGTGATGGTTCAGTTTACTCCGCCTGGGAAAGTATTTCCAAAGGTAAAGGGTTCCCGGCCAGAGTAGGAGGGAAGAGAGAAACGTAAGGCTTTATTTCATTCACCAACCCTATTTGCATTGTTAGTATAAATTGAGGTGGCTAATCATGAAATGATTCCGGTTGGTAACAAATATGGAAACCTCTAGTGATGTATGTATACAAGTAAGTATTAGAAGAAGGGGGATGTAGAATACTGCGGGAAACAGTACCTCCGCGTACACACAATACCCCACCCTTCCAAGGGGCTCGAGGAGATGGGCCCAAAGCTAAGTCTACCACAGAAACAGATATGCCCTGGTAGTGTAGTGGTTAACACACCAGAAACTCAGCGCGTAGGTTTAGAGCTGTGAGGAGATCTTGGGTTCGAATCCCAATCGGGGCAACATCAATTTTTTTTTGTCGCCGGCTTCTGATCCTTGGGTGCTGTTTTTTTTCTTGATCTTGGGTCGATATCAACAGCTACTGGAAACTAGTTAAGCATGATATATCTTTTTCGCTGAACGAAAAACAACATCGAGCAGTCTCTGGTGGGGGTAGTCTCCTACATATGCCATACTTAGCAGTGGTCTGCCCATCCAGAAGCAGATTCGTTAGAGACGAGCCTATAGTAGAAGGTACTCGCACTTATGTTGTAGTTCACCGTTCAAATGCAATCTGGGGGTGCGAGCAGTACTTATTTCTATCAAGTATATAGGAGAAAGCAAATTTCATTCCCGCAATGTTAGAATACCTTTACATGTATTCTATGTACGTCGACACGAAAAGTCCTATATGGAACGGAACAGATTTCGGGAAATCCCAACCCTCCCACGCTGGTACGTACGTCCGTGGGGCGTGCATCTAATTGCCGGGGAGGGAACTATTCAAGTTCTTAAGGGTATAATACCACTTCTAACTGGTAGTGCTTGCACGGTGCACTAGAAACTAGAATAACACCATGCTCCTCCGGGTTTCACTGGTAGGTTCTGCTTCCCATAGCCGTTGGAGAATAACCCCTAGCCAAGCACCGGGGATTTAGGAGTCGAAGCCAATTACCGGTGCAGCTATTGTACAAGTATTAATTTGCTTTAATCTTACCTCCGGGAAAACACCTAGTGGCTAGTTTGCTAACCGTTTCCGAGCATAAGGGTCTCGTGGCACCGCCGATATATTGCGCCACCGCCGCCATATGCATATATACCGACATATTCACAGATTCCACAAAGTTTAATTAGCTACGGTATCACTGCCAGCACATGGCACACAGGTAAGGTGGGATAAGTGTAAGTGAGTACGGACCCAACATATCAGTATTAACTTTAGCACTGCTAGCTGTTATATTGATAACACAGGCATAAATATACCGCCATATACCCCGGCATGATACTGCGGAGGGCATTGGGAGAGTACTTTAATATCTGGAATGAGGATATGGTCAGCTGTGCGCATATGAATGTCAGTACCGTAGGAAAAACCGCCTTACACTCTTGTACTTGTAAATTAAAGCAGAGTCCTGCGATCTGCCGTTGCTTGGAAGCACTCTCGTGAATTACCTCATTCGCTTAATCTAAAAGCCTGGTAATGGTGATAATGATGATGTGATATAAATCGGATGCATCCTTCCGCCCTCCACCTAAAAATATGTCTCGGAATAATTGAAGATTACAATCGCGAGCACACACCCTTCTCTACAGATCAATTCCAGTATCAAAATTCTAACAGGTAATAGCTATTTCACCTTGGAATCTTCGGCGATCTTTGTTGCGCATAGGCATCAATCCGTTCTTCCATAGCCCCGCACATCTAATAACAGGACGGATACGCGCAGTTTGCATAAATAGGCACAGCTGACCCGGCATAGAGATCTTTCTATTATCGAGTTCGTGAACACGCGGGTACAGCCCCAATCAATATGGTTTCCCAGCCTCCGTCCTCAAGACCAATATCCCCCAGAGTAAATATAAGGACCAGATACCATTGATAAACACACACATTTTCAGCAATGCACCGGCAATTCGCTATAGAGTAACTGTGGTGATATGAGTTGAACGGCGGGTCTCCGCTATCACAGCAGTTGTGAGGGTGCACTCATTGTTAACTGCCACCCTCTTTTTACGTCACAAGGGAGCAAATATAGAACAGCCATCCCGTGTAGCTATCCGTGCACGTCCCTATTACACGCTCCGCAGGTCGACCTGTTCCATCCGCCCCTGTTTCCCTTGTATCAGAAAGTACGCCTTGTAAATCTGAGATTCCACGTATGGAACACGGCTGATATTGCATGCGCGGGTGCCATATTTGTGTACTTGAGCATCCCCGATCTGTCGATGCCCGTGGTAGTAGTCATCGAACGAGGCAAAGAAGGTTTAGATGAATGAATCTTGAGTGCCTGAATATGAGTCATGAGATGTTTTCCTATTGGTGGTCTACTAGAACGAAATTCAAATGCTCAAATTGAACCAGACCGGAGGTGATACCTGGAAATGTGCGCCTGGTATGGACATACAATAGTAGAATAGAAATAACAACGGTTGCGATAGAAAACTGGTATAACTATTAGTAAATCTCCTGTAGAAGGTGCGCATTAAAATAAAACTTCCCTTAGAAGAGAATGTCGTTTCTTTGAATTCATAGAGAGAGAAATCAACATCGTCTTTCATACTAGAGAAGATACCCGGTCCCAGCATCCGCATATCTACATATAGCTGTAGCAAAGTATATTAAGCATTTACCGCAAGCTTTTTGTTGTTTCGGAGCTCTGCTCAGATATCCAGGGCTATTCCAGCCAAGGTCGATCATATATTGTCTGCGGAGGTACTTGGGTAGGGAACAGATTATGGAATTGCATATTGCCTCTCGCGCTTCGCACATATCAGTAGGAATAAAAGGCCTCCACATGCCATTCCGGACTCGAGTGGTGTGCATAAAGACACGGAAAAATCAATATAATAGCTTTTTCACTTGCATGATTAAACTATGAACAACAGAGTAGCATACACGGCGGAAGGGTAGCTATGTGAGGTTCCGGGGCCGGGTAGGAACAGGAGCGTAAATGAAAAAGTATGCATATGAGTTATATTTGAGTTATCTCATGCTATATTATCACCGCCGCCTGGGGCTAGGAAGGGTGTTTACTATATATCGAGGAGGCATTCACGAACAGAGGCCGAATACCAATTAACCCCCGCCTGCCCGAAAATCTCTTACAGCGCCCATTTTGATAGAGCCAATATTCCGAAGCATCATTCACGTTTCACCCCGATCAACCATTATAAATCAGGTACACCTCCTTTCTCACCCCCGCGAAATTCGTATCTAACCAATGTTCGTACGTAGATAATACCGGGAATACCACTCCGTACCACAATCCGATCATTCACAGTGACTATAAGGGTCAGATATATATATCAAAAAAAAACAAAAGGTGAATAATCATTCCTATACCACGGGTAAATAAATTCTAACTTCAATGAGTATTACGAACCAGGTGGCCTAGATCTCTAGCTGGACGTGAGCATTTAGGAGCATCTTGTTTTCAATACAATCCCCCATGAGCTACTGCTCTTCTATGATGTAAGAAGCTTCTTAAAATTGAATATACCATTGGGCATGCTAATACGTTTGAGGTAGAACGACATAGGAGACCCCCCGCCCCTCGAATAGGGCGATAACACAACTGAACACAAGACCCTTGGAGTCATATCATTAGGTCGTTCTGAGAAAAACCTTTTCAAAGATGAAATTTCCCAGCGATTTGGTTAGTACATGGCCAATCCTAGCTATGCTAGTTATTGTCACCGCAGCTGCACCCATCGACAATAGCACATCACCAACACAAGGCTATCAGAGTTCCTGGGTGGGTGAGCCTAAGGGTCGCGGGACACTCGGTATTCTTCGGACATGCGTTTCTACCCTGTTCCTCTGTGTATGGAGCGCTATGCACCCGCCCGTTCAAGCCAGCACGTCAAGCCTTAGTCGAGGTCTGTTTAAGATTAAATGGGTTATTGCTGGAATGTTTTTTCCAGAAGTACTCCTATTCGCCGCGCTCATTGACCACTGCGACGCGTGGAGATTTCGACAAGAATGGCGGAAGAGGAATGAAATTAGCCCCAAGGCTAGTAATGATATACTTGACATGGAGGACTGTTTTTTTGTGTGTATGGGGGGATATTCTGTTGGGAAAATAGAAGAATATTCACAATTTTCCAATATCCTCACACCAAATGGCTTGCTATTTCTGCTGGAGAGTGGCCTGGTGTCTCCTGAAATCCTTCGGAAAAGATCCATTGCAGACAAGAACAAAGCAGATGTATTTGTCAAACTTATGGTCTTTCTTCAAATCACCTGGATGTTGGTCCAATGTTTGGTTCGAGCGAAAAGGCACCTTTCCGTAACCACTTTAGAATCTCATGTTGTACTACATGTTATCTGTACGATGTTTACGTATGGAATATGGTGGAATAAACCACTCGATATTTCAGACCCGATTCCGGTAATCAGTGACGTTGAGCTTGCAAGTCTCATTGTCGTTCTTCTTTCCCCTCACTCCCGTGGGAACCTATCTTGCCTGAATATAAGCGTTTCAACCACCCCAGCACCAGCAGAACAGCTCCCTGTCCTGGTGCGCAGGGTATGGTTGATCAGACTCCGGAGTTAAAGGAGGATGGCGAGTTTCTCGATATTATTAAGAAGGATAATGGGTACCACTACGCGGTTACCGAAGGGGCGTTGGACAAGATATTTTTTTGCGCCGATGAAAATCTCGTCCCAGAAGGTTTTAAAGCCATCCCTATACCGACGGACGTACCAGTTCCCCGTCTTTCCGCCCGGGAAGGGCCTGACACCCGGCCGCCGAGCGAAAACGGAACTCCAATTATACCTTTAAAAAATAGCTCCATGAGGTCGAGAATCAGAAACTTCTTTCAGCATACCGAGAGGTCTCATAGGCCTTTGGTAGAATACATTGGACCCGCAGAATACGCTGCAATTGATGGAAAGCTGAGGATATCGTTAGATCTAGATAGCACACCAGTATCCTCAAAGATCGACCTTCCAAGCATTGCCTTAGACAAGACAGATATTGCCAATCTACACTCTGCGGTAAGGGCAATAACTTCGGGGAAGGATTTAATAATCACAGCCGCAATCGAAAGATATGGCGAAAATACCTATGACCAGAAGATGCCGCTTCTGGTTTCTAAGACCAGAATGCATAATATCTATACTCTTGGAGCAAATATCCACAAGCAAGGTGGAAATCAGCGCCAGTATTATATTCGAGCGCTCACCACGGTAGTGTATGTTTTATTTCCGGTGTCATATGCCGCATGGCACGCCTTGTATTGGAATAGCCACTTTCCAACGGCGACCGAGTCACGCCTATGGAAGATATCATCGATAGTTGTAGGAATTGTTCCCTTGATTTTTGAGCTCGGCTTTGTTATAGATGGCGAGGACTCTAGGGTTAAAAGGCTGCTTGAATGGGTTGAAGTAAGAGTTGATCGGTTGTTTCTGCACCTCCTTCCTCCAGCTAGCCATACCTCTCGTATAGGTAAGAGGGTAGCTCATATAGTGGAAATCGTCGGGCAGTGCCTTGTTGTCGTTCTCCTTTTCTTTCTTACTCTTGGTAGATGTTTCCTTGTGATTGAAGCGTTCATCAGCATAAGAAGTCTTCCGCATGACTCTTTTCAAACTCCGTTTTAATATGTATTGATATTACATTTTAATAGAGATTCATAAACTCTTCCCGCCCCCGAGTCGCGCCCCTATGGATAATTACCGCGAGTATTTGCCTTACTAGTGTAAAGGTTATATAGAGTCAGACAATCTGATAGTTATTCCGGATACTGCCTATTGAGTGGCCATTTATAAAATGACATCGCATATATAAGACGTCCGGCGTCACCGGCTTCTCAGTCGTGCACCCCATTCATCAACTAGTGGGTAGACAAGTATGGGAGGCACCAGCGTACCTAATAGCTATATATGCATAGGATAGTTACATGCAGGCGAATAGAAATCATTTGATTAAGAGAGGCTGAGGCACCAATGCTTTGCAAGACAAGGACCGGCAATCCATGCTTCATCCTCAACGTGAAAATAATACACTTTTTGGGGTCCCAACCAATACCGAAATTAAACTAGGGAGAGAGACTTAGATTAATATGATTGCCAGGAATTGTAATTCTGCAGTGCCTGGCCTAGTTAGAAGAAACATTGGGGGGTGGGATATGCACCACGACGATCGATGCCGGAGGTTTTTATGAGGCAGAGCCCATATATTATGTAGTCAACTTATCCTGACTACGTAATGTGACGTGAGCATGAGGTAAACTAGCCTAGATCGGTTCGATGCTGAGGCTAATGCTTGAACGGGCCAGAGAAACAACAAATAAACGTGTTTCTTCCCCGGGGACTCTAGTGAATCCTAAACCTTGCTCAGAGATAGAGATTGCAATTGTAATTGCAAATAGAAAAATAGCAATTCTACCAAGAAATTCAATTATATCGTATCAGCCAGTTCCGGCCAGCACAGGCCACCCCCAGCGACACACGAAGTACCTCGGTTGGTTAATTAATAGGACTGATGAGCGTAATCAAAGAGGAGGTAAGGAACGTCATTTGGACGGGACTGGTTCTCACGTTGTTTTCTCAAGCTGGGAATACTACCCTAATCCTCTGGACAAGATCATATCACAAATAGATTCTGAGCCGCCACATGAGCGGAAACCCCACCCCACGTCGGCTCACAACCTACGCCCACCTTCCACCCAGAGCACCAGGCTTCAGGATCGGCTCTCAGGTCCAATCTATACCGATCATCCACACCGTCAAAGTTGCATAAGTGGGTGTGCGGCTCGAGCTCCAGAGACGTCCTATCCATCGGACCACCTGGTAAGCACAAAACGACGATTATAGATATTGCGAGAGCTCCTTCCATATACCCGCTAAACTCTCACCAGCAGTTACTACAGGGGTGCCTCTAGACACCTTTTTAACACATATTCCGAAGATTTAGACCATCCATTAATCTAGACTACGGAATCTGATTGGTGTGTAGTATTGGTGATAGTCTCTTGCTGTTGTTGTATTCTCCGGGCACTCCCACCTAGAAAAGAAGGCTACCAAGAAAGACTAAATCAAATTCAATCCAATTCAGCATTACCAAAGAACATCTTTCAACCAGTATAGTTAAAATTGACATCATCGTCTCGATAAAGGCGTTTACAGCCCTCAGCACGCTGCAAAACCTCTGCTGGGGCTTTTACCAAAACTAGCTATTAGTAGGTTTATAAAGACTAAATCCCATCAATGGGACATTACGGATTGATAATATCGTGTTTGTCCTGGCTAGTGTAGTCCTCGAGGATGAGCGATCTTGTGTATCTGCCTCAAGAATATGTCCCCAACGACCAGAAGGATAATTGTCCGGAACTACTAAGAGCGTCGGGGACACTACTGCTCGCGCTCTTGTATTGGAGAAAGGCCAAGCTGGATCGAGATTTGGGCTTGAGTTTCAGACTCAAACACTTCGAGCTCTCCTTCTCACGAGTCAAATCCTCATCAAGTTTTCCAGACGCTAGTTTATAATATGAAGGGGGTTGTAACCTGGAAGATAACACCCCCCTCGAACAAACTCTTTCCCAACACCAACCCGACGCTTACTTCAAGGTTCCCCTGGCACACGTGCACATTTCCTATGTTTTCTATCTTTCAATTATAGTAGTCTATCGAGGTAGACTACGTTGACAACAAACTTGGCACTCCATGGTACTACTAAACAGTGGGCCTTCCTCTTTCCCTACGGTCCATTCATGTCAATGTCTAACACTCAGCTAATTGTCAATTCAGAAATTATTTCCAAAAGGGCTACTGAAAATAGTTTAGTACATATTTGTGTTCAAAATCTGAAAGCACTGGATTTTGGGCGTGGATTTGAACTGCGTTGTCTACTCTTGTACACAATTGCAACTCCAATGTAAACATGTCAACGAACACCCTAATTTGATTCAATTTCACACGAAACAACTCTGGACCCTTCCACATTGTGTGAGTGAGAAGATATGAGAGACACTGCGAGGCATAAATAGCTTCATATTTCTAACGCGTCTCCAAATCTTTCGCCTTCTTCGTCCCCGAAAGCATCCCCTTCACGTTGAGGCTGTTTAGTGCCTCTTTGCCCCCCCTCAAGGCCGCTGCCTTGGTCTTCTCCCACAGTCCCACTCGTGGCTCCTCCCTCCCGCGCCTACGGATAGGCGGGGCCACCCCACTATCACCCACGCCCGCCTCGTGAGCGCCGGATCCCTCAGGGTCAGACCTAGCCTCCCTTGCGGGAGTGAGCTGGGTCTCATTGGCAGCCGTAGAGGCGGAGGAGGAGGAGGAGGAGGCGATGGTGGCTGTGGTGGTGGTGGTGGCGGTGGTGGTGATGGTGGTGGTGGGGGGGGCCTCCACGGCATCTCTGGCACCCTCAGTATCCTCCTAGCACTCATCACAGTCTGTTAGTTTCTGTCCATTGTTATTGCCAGTTGAAAAGATGTATGTCCCCTTACCTGGACTTCCACTCCGGAGGCGCCCACCCCCCCGCTCTGGGCCTGGTGTTGGTTCTGTGCGTCCATTCTCTACTAGGTTCAGACATGTTAGCTGATGATATCTGTAGTCATTTCGAACTTCAAGATATGGTAGAAGGTGACTACTTACTTTAGATTTGGTTATTCTTATTTAATTTTGTGGTGTTTTGTGACGATGAAGATTTGATCAAATCGTGCTCCAAATGCACCAAAAGGCGTATGGCACCATAGAACGAGACATCACCCTAATCGTGTTAGTGAGTCGGCTAAAAAAACTCTCGGCGGGCAGGCAGGTTGGTAGATGAGGCTAAGGCGGGCATGCGGGCTGGTGGATGAGGTTAATGCGGGGATAACAACACCATGTGGTTACCCACACCTTCTATGGCCACCCTTTTCAGAGGGAAGCAGAGAACCATTTGGAAAGTGGTAAATACAACAGGGATAAGACTCAGGGCTCTACCTCAATAGGAAGAAAAAAAATCTTATATGGGTCTCGAGATACATACCGAAATTTTCGGGTGTGGGCGATCATTGGTGGTCAAACATTTTACTCAACCGCCACCAAAACATTCTGTTGAAACTTCGGACCCACACTTCCTCCCCCAAAAGAAAGTTTTCAATCCCAAGCGAAAATCCTTTCAAACTTTGTCAGGTTTGGATCGAAAACTATGCAGCATTCGACCCCCGGCGTTGAGTTTTACGCCAGTGGAGCATGTGGCTAAGCGAGGCCACCTTGCGCAGGCGCGGCCGTCTGTCTCCCCAGGTACTCCCCCCATATCTTCATGGATCCTGAAAGATGAGCTCTCTATTCTTTTCTTTTTGCGAGGATCTCCGTGGTCGCACAGGCCAAACCCAGTTGCTATGTCGAGGCACCGAGTGATATCTTATGTCTCGGTTGTCTGGGCATAAATGGCCTTCAGGTGGGTACCAATACAATGGTTTTTTTGCGGACATCCACGAAAAGGGGTTTCTACACTCTCTCGGGTTATTTTTCTCATAGCTGACTGAGCTTTAGCACGACGTTGTGGCGCAGGCGAGAACTAGATGGATTGTGAGCCACAACAGGGATACTGTGTCTGATGTAACTGGGCGTCGTTCCTGAGTGTTCTCTCCTCTTCTAACTAGTCTCACCATCGTATCAATCGAGCTACGTCTTACTTCAGGAACCTGAGTTTTTGTCCTCCGAGAATCACGTCGCTATAGCAGCTCCTGTTTCGCCCCAAATCATCCGTCGAAATTAACAGAATGTCTTCAAATTTACCTGCTTATTATTCTGGTGACGTCACAAATCAGTAGCTTCAGGCTTCTATTTCCAAGTCAAATGCGATAGAAACTCTGTGTCATGCTCAGTCGGAACCTCTTGGCGTAAATTCACACTTCAGGCAGCATCATGGGCATGACACACATAGAAATTGTCAAAACCGCTAGAGAGAGAGGCAAAAAAAAAAAAGATGAAAAAGAAAAAGAAAAAGAGTTTTTGAGGGGGTCAGAGAAATACTACGGCCCTGCTCGGACGGAAAAAAATCCATACAATGGTACTCTTAACCCCATATATTTTGGTGTTCTGCTATCAGAATCTCTCTATAAAAATCGCATGGTATTGATAAACACCTCCGGAGGTGTTTATCTAAGCAACATTTCCACACAACACCGCAACACTGTGCACGTGTTAGAGATCACCCGGGATGACCTGTATGTTTATACCAACACCCACATACAGAGACGATATATCTTTTGCTGACATGTACTGGTCGGAATAGGGTTGACCCCCTACCGTTCCAAACCCCCCCCAAATAAAAAAAAAGAAAGAAAGAAAAGAAAAAAAAGTGCGATACCAGCAGAGACATCGAAATACATGCTTACCGACAGAATTTAGATTCACTGGCTGTACGGGTGGGTCTGTATATATGCTGGTGTTCGAAAAGAACTACCCATGACGGCGAGATGTCGTGCGTGTTACAAAACCAAGTGATCGTTCATGACTAGCTCGTTACTCCTCTTCCGATTGGCGATATTTCTTCGTGGATGCTTCCACCGGTTTATTTGATTTCCGCCTTTAGGTAAGATAGGGAGAATAGTATCAGATATTAATGGCTGGTTAGACACGCTTGTGGAGTATCCACGGAGGTATACGTACACTCGGGTAACAGAAGTTTTGGCGATTCTACGACAACGGCGCAAACCCCAACTTTTCACAACTTCGGCCCCACTTCAAATCACCACAATTCAATACAGAGATGCCGGAAGAAGACAGAACTGAAGGGCAGGGTCGCCTATCTGACTTTGAAAGAGGCCAAATTGTCGCTCTTTGGCAGGAGTTTAGTCATGTAGCCAAAATCCTCCCTCGCTTGACACACCCCCGCTCAGAGAGTACTGTCAGAAATTTTATCCGCCGTTACCAAGCTCGCAACTCTATCAGAAATTTACCTGCACCTGGGAGACCTCTTAAGATGAATCTTAGGACCCGAAATCGGGTTTTTACAGATGCAAAAGAAAAGAGAACACAGTCTTTTCGCCAAATATGGGACAATCTAGCACCTGAGGTCTCAATTAGGACTGTGAAACGCTACCTCCAGAAGAGAGGTATTCGCAAGTGGAGCGCCGCATTCAGACCACTCTTAAAACCTAAACACGTTGCTAGGAGACTTGCTTGGGCCCTTGCACATAGGCATTGGACGGTAGAAGACTGGGGCAAGGCCATTTGGGGTGATGAATGCTCGGTAGAAAAATGCAGATATTCCGGTCAAATATGGGTATTCCGTTTTTTTTTTTTTTGTTTAATTCATTAATTGCATGCAACCTTACAGTATGGGTATTCCGTTCTTGGTGGGAAAAATGGAAAAAAGTCTGTATTAACCCTAGACAAAAGAGTGGGGAGGTAAAACTGATGGTTTGGGGCTGTTTTGGGGGAGGAATCGCGGTACATTTGTCCCTATTATTGTCAAATCTATGTACCAGTTTGTCTATACCCACCTCCTCGACACCTGCATGAAACCGGTCTATGAACGAGTACAAGAGACACTGGGCGATGCAACATTCATGCAGGATAATTCCCCACTGGCAGTACATACGGCATACTCTCCTACGATTTGGTTGACGGCAAATGATATCAGGTTGGAAGACTAGCCTCCTTATTCACCTAGTATAAACCCTATCGAGCATGTTTGGAAACGCCTCAAGGATAAGTTTCACACATCTTACTCGAACCTTGTAAACACTAGAGGAGGTCTAGAAGTAGTTAGAGCAAGGCTTGCTGAAGTTCTTCCACTTGTGTGGGAAGAAATAGAACCGGATTTCTTTGAAAATCTGACAAAATCAATGTTGGATCGAGTAGAGGCTCTTATAGAGGCAGAAGGATGGTATACAAAGTATTAGATGGCAAGGAGTTCAGATACTATGGATGTAATTAAATCGAATTTACAATATAGATATAAAGTATTCACTCGCAAAATTTGAAGTGGTTCTGAGGCCTATTCGTGGTTACGCAACAGGTGGTTGAGGAATCGCCCATGGTTACTATCGAGGCGATTGAAAAAATCGCCAAAACTTCTGTCCTAGCACTATACGCACGCTGGTAGGTAGGTCCTAAACAATCAAAATCGATTTGTGAATAGATATAGCCCAAGACAACATACTGATCGGCTTTATGTGACATTTCTTGTTTACTGATCTTTGTCAATTCCACAGTCTTACGTGCGTATGAAAATAAACCAAGTAGGTACACATCCCAATAGCCGTTGATTAATCATGGACGCCCGGCCTGAGATCGAGAGTCCTCATTGATAGTCTCTAGATCAAGAATCACTGTTCATTACTTTCTGTACAGCGGTGGGTAATAAGTCATCGGACGACCTAGCCACAATTTTGCCTGCAAACGCGTATTTGGTGGCGTTCCGTCTGATGACTTATTACCCACCGCTGTATAACAACCCACTACGGCAATATCGATATTGCGGAATTCCTTGTGGATGCGCGCAGCAAAGGTACGAAGCAGCAATTTTTGGTCCAACCCTAAAATGACGGATTGCACTTTGATATAAGTTGGCAAAATTAAATTAAGATGTATACTTTACTTCAAGACTTTTCTACAGCCGCTCCTAGGTGTAGTCCTAGGGAGGGGCGACACTTCGGTGGTGCTGGTGAATAATTCCGGGGGTTTTTCAAGTACCCCGAACTCCCGCGAAAAAAAAAGATTATATCTCACAATGGGATAGCACTTGTCTCGAACCAGACTTTGGGTCACGTGCTTTATTTAATAATTAATGGTTACGAAGTGCCCAACGGCTTTGTTGTTGATTCATTTATTCAACGCCAAGCCGAAGGGTTTGGTTCGAGACAAGGGATAGCACCATCCGGCCCTGATAAACGGTATATATAGCACACTAAGAAAAATCCTTCCCGGAGAGCTTATTTCTTCCTCCGGTCAACCCGGAAGCAATACCAAAATCCCTGGGTAAGCACCAAGCAGCAAGAATAGAGCCAATTCGATCTCCCTCTTTCAGATGTATACATCCTGTATAAGCCCCTCCGTATCACTAAAAGGATCTCTTGAGATTTCCGGTCCCAATACTGAATTCCTTCTCTTATCACTAGCCATATAAGTCCGAGAGGACTTGAATATATGTAGTTTACTATTGGCATTACCATACGGGGGCCCTTCTCTCAGTGCCAGAACATCTACTCAAAGATGAAAAGATTACATAATTCATCAGCTCCTTATCCCTTAACCCGTCAGTTACCTTTTTTTTTTTTTTTTTTGGCGGGTCAGTACTTTGGTGACGGTTTAAGAGATAAACGCCTTCGTGTACCCATTGCCGCGCCCACACCCCACTGTCCATTGCGGCTCCATGAACCTCATCAACGCGAGTACCCCAAATCTTCATCTCCACAACCATCCCCTATCTACATACCACCTGTTGGGAACTACATACCCTCTACTCCCCAGCCACATGCGGCCGCGCCGGGGTCTCGGGTAGGGATCGGTAAAATATCAATAATACCATACATACGGCACCCTTGCTGCCAAGGCCATGAGACCTGAGAAGAAAAAATGCAAACGATAAAAACCAAACCAAATGTGGGCACTATGAGTAGGAAGGCTAGTGAAGTTGATAAAAGGGAAACAGTACATAAACCAGTTCTAGAAAAGTGGGTGATTTTTGGTGATTTACACCCCTGCATTCCCTATTTAGGATTAGTTTTTCTTAGTCTGTATTTTTCGCCGTATTATTGGGGAAAACACAGTAAAATACATAAAATACAATACATTACGGTACCGTAATTTTACAGGTCCGAACCCTTAGTAGTCTCGGGGAAGCAACATTGGCGCCAAGCCGGTATTTAACGACCTGCATACCTCCGGAAATGCTGCAAGAGCCGTGTAGTGATCAGCTATGGCGATAGTTCCTGCGATTCGAAACCAAAGAGCCAGACCCCGCATGCAACGGGTGGTATGATGGGCTATCTGGGCGTACACATCCGGGGGGATTGTCCTCTGGTGAGTTGGGTTAACTGGGTGTAATTGCCAAGCAAAAATAATTACTACTGATACAGTCAAATCTCGCTATGGGTGATCGCGCATAAATGGACCTATGGTTCAATCCTTTTTTGTGTGATTAAAGATTAGGGGAAATGACCGAATGCTTACTATAAGGATACCCCTAGCAACTTGAACATTTCTTTTAGTGCATACCTTATAGAAAAGTTCGGGTACGTGTCAGATCTCTCCTACTACTCGTAGGTCTCCATTAATTCCTAGTCCCTCTATCCATTATTGGACCGAAATAACCCTAACCCTAATTTCCATGTAGGTACACTCTCTCTATATAAGGGCAATCCGCGACCCAATGTTTTGAAATTCCCGTACCCTGATAGCGAGATTCGACTGTATGCATTTTCCCTCATATCTACATTAGCTACCCGCTAATCTATGGCTAAACAGAAACTAGAAAAACTAGGATGATCTTCATAAAAAAAAAGGTCCCATAACCCTAACCCACCACCTGAAATTCCACGTACCACCGCCAGAGGTTTAATTTTTATACATACCAGTTTGCAAATTTACCGACAGTGGTATATATGGCAGGTTTTGTTGAGTCGGGGTTCAATCTAATCGGGATTGCATGCGGGGTCCGGAGAAGAGCATAATTTCTGCTTGTTAACGATAGGCCTTGGGTCGCCACCCCGACGGCTTATGGAAACATCGCTAGGTGGCAGTAGAACAGTGGAGAGAAAGACAAGGATCGATGGAGAAAGGAGTAGACAAAAGATCGGATGCATGCAGGTCTATGTGAGGCGGGTGCCGTGATAGATGCCATAAAGACACATTACCTCGCTCGACATTACTAGAAGAAGGGAGGAGATGAAGTAGGGCAAGACAATACGCGTACGTACCTTTCCCGTTTGGTCCCTATATGGTTCTTGCATACTGCACGATCGATGGCCATTGATTCCCTCACTCTACACAGCGTATTTCTCATGACGGTGTTGGTTAGGCGCTCTTAACACGCGCCTACCCATAACAGAGACGGGATATATACTCAGATCCAATCTCATAAATGTGTGCTTTTATCCAGGTACACCTTCCCTCCGCCATACCGGTATGCCAGCTGGCACTTTATCGCCTTACCACCACCACGACAGACACAATAAGCCCCGCGGCACAACCGTCCAACGCCACCCCCGCGGACCCACCTGGAAATACATTTCCATATCAAATCAAGACACCGGTGATCCATATTGACGAGGAAAACCCAATGGGCTTAAACGCATCGTTCCACGCCCCACGTCCCGCGAGCGGAAACTTCATTCGTCTCCTCATCTCGTCCATACACACCTCTCTCACCGGCGCCCCCGGTTTAATCCACTACAACAAGATCAGGACGTCAGAAATCTGCTTCAACCTCCACCCCTTATATAGTCTCTCATGACGGCATACACACCTCGCTGCTAAGACTATCTAGGCCCGGGGACACCGGTCATACCCGGTGACAGATATTCCATCGAGGGTTGGCGAGCCCTGCTTTACCTCCTCCAATGCTGAATCCAGTGCCGATTGCCTTGTGGTCAGGAACTCCCGCGCCGAGCACGGCGACCGATTCGAGGCTCTGAGCAGACCCCAGCCGCGATCGCGCAGACTCGGCGGAGGCGGAACAGGCTGTGAGAGTAACGGTGTGGCCCACAGGTCTAGATGCAGGTGGTGGAGATCGGGGAATAAACCAAGTGCCGCAACCGCAGAGCTCTGTGAAGCAGTGTAAGCGAAAGATGCTGCAGGCCTATCTCAAAGTGCATGTCCATATATATTGCTGGGCCAACGATATGGTGCCACTGGGCCAATACACCTACGTACCAAATCATCATTCCTCACGCCAATCAGGAGATCTGATAGCCCCTCGCAACCCGCCGCTATCACCGCCAGGTCATCCGCATTAAATGTTATAATCCTCAGCGCTATGTCGGACCGCACGCATACAAGTGGACTAGTGCATGTTAGCGCCTTCAGCCCCCGACACTTCCTCGCGATAGTTTGCGGCAATAGGTGATCGCGAGGCCCATCATAAGGCATCAGCCCACACTGTGGCCAGATGAGATGCAGCTCCTCCAACGCGTCCGTCATGAGCTCCAGCACCGCACAAGCCCTATGATAAGGGATCTGTATATATGCTCAGCTTCCGCAGCCCGGTAAGGCCGCTTGCTCCTAGGACGTCGGACGCCTCCGGGGAATAATTGCCACTATGGCCGACGGCGCCTCGATACTGCGGGCTAACGCGGTGAGTATCAGCGACGAGCTGGAGAGTGTGCAGTCGATCGAAACGGATGGCCACAGCCAGCCGTGTGATAAGCCTCACATCCCATCCGAAAAGGTTGAGACTTCTGACCTCCGGCATGAGTGGGAACGGCTCATACTCGGAAAACCCCCCATAACGGAATCCCTCAACCAATGCCAGCGCAAGATGCTCTAGGGTGTCGGAATTTGCGGATAGTAAGGGGCCCAGCCCACACGTGTACGGGCAGCGTTGAACGCTTAATGAGCGCAGGCGCCACTGATTTGGTATGTAGTGCTTCAGTGCATCGTCTCCGCAGGTCAGGGATATCAGGTTATAGCTATTGGCCACTTCGAAAATAGTTTTCGGAAACTTTGTGAGTAGATATAGATTCTGGATGTTGTGGAAGTTTTCTAGCGCCCTTTTGATGACGGCATCCCCGAGAAATGCACTTGCCTCATTTCGGCGTTTATAGGGGTCGGCGGGCAGGACAACAAGTGTGGTGGTGTGCTGCACGAGTGAGGGATTGAAGATACAGTGCGGGTAGTCTTCGGCGCAGAACGCGACGGTTCGGTAGAGCGTTTGAAGGAGATGTCTGTAAAGGGCCCGGCAGGTCAAGACGAGGGAGCTAAGCGCTATGGGGACAGTAGATGCAAGAATGATTGTGGTGCTTATTTGCACTGAGTCGTGTATTGCCTGTGATGTATCGTTATTAGTATTTGTGTAAGTAGATCATAACGGTGGGAGTTAAGAGAGGGGGATAGGGATAGATGTGGGGGTTGTGGGGGGGGTTGCGGGGGAGTAGGGAGAAGCTAGAGGAAGATGGGAAGAAAGGGAAGGGAGAGTCACCACATAGTCCAAGATCTGCTCGAGTAGCTTGACTGGTAGAAGTAGCAGCATCGTTCCAGATATAGATCATGAAAGTAATCCGTGGATCTCAAAAAACGGTATTGGAGGGGGGTTATATATATTCTGCGAGGTATTGTCTCGATGACTCAGCACCGATGCGCCTCCTGCGTGCATGCATGTCAATGTGGGGGAATATTGTAAATTGGTCCGAGTATTGAATGTTTGTAGGTGCAGGCGGACTTTAAGTACAGGCAATGATGATGTTCTCATATACAGTGAGTAATATAATGACCTCTAACATACGTGACAACTAGAGTACACTAAGCCTAATTCAAGTCACAATGCATGAGATTATGAAGATACTGTAATATATCCTATCCAGTGACTCCTTATACGTATGGCCGAGACTGCCGATATCCCTTGTGCGCGACATCACGCAAGCTATCGGCACATAGTTCAAGCAGTGTTCAGAGTTGGAAATTGAACCGTGTCCTGACACGATTACACAAAGCCTATATGTAAGTACCCAACACCTCATTCTCAAAGCCTGAAAGCAAGATCCAGTGAGCTCTTCCCTTTACTCGTACCGCTACTTCTAAGGCTGGGTGTGAGCATTGACGTTCCGCCACTATTACCGAGACTAAACCTCTGTTTAATGGGATAACAAGTATATGGAGATAGAAGGATAGTGTATATACGTATACAGGATGGATAATGGCATGAGGGGGTGAGAAACTATGAAACCGTCGTTAGTACATATTTTGACATCTCACCTCCGATCTCACACCCATTCTCCCCGAATTGACAATATATTACTGCTGGAATATGAACTAAATCAGAAATTAGACACTTTATCGCAACAGGTACAACATAGCTTCCCTCCTCGAAATGAGAGTTGACGGTACTAGAGGTCTCTACTGTAATCTGCGATTTAGCAGACGACGCACCACAATGTCTACCTCAAACATTACCCTCTCCCCAAACCGGTTCCTCATCCCGCCGTTGTCACCGGTCCGCGTCATTACTACCACCTTTGCACCGAGAATATTCAGGAAATGATAATGCCACTAACTCCGTCTCCCGGCTGCAGCTAGCTTACCCCCCAGTGCGCTTGAATGCATTGCAAGTTCCCCGTACGGCATTGCACGTGGAGTCACTTCGGGGCCGTGCACTTGAGGACCTTGTAGGCCTGACCATGTGTCTACCGTAAACTAACGGAGAGGGCCTTTGTCGGGCAAGGCGCTTTCCACCGGCCCGGCCACCTACCGCTGGGTTAGAGGTTGAGTGAGTTCGCAGAGCGCCGGCACATTGCGGGGATAATCGAAGGATTATTATAATTAATAACTATATGAATGAATGCATGTCTTTCCGGCAAGCTTGAGGGCTGAGGGTAACCTGTCACCTCCCCCCTCCCTCACACCCGGTGGTGGTGCTCGGCGGAATCCCATACCTGCCGGACTCCGCATTCCGCCGGATCTGAGCCTGGACAGGAGGTCACTATAGACAAGGTGCTAAGGTTAGATTCGTTGCGAAGCTGCTTCTTGCCCAAAACTCGATAACGAGCAGAATGGAAAATCGGGCAGGCACCCTGGTGTCGGGAAATGAGGCTCGCTTCAGCAACCCTCACATGGGTTTATATCGAGACCAACAAAGTACGGACACCCCATCAGAACGAAAGAACAAACAGAAGTGGTCTATCATTGCTACCCATCCAGGCTATTTCCGCAAATCCATACTACTACTTAATAGCGAGTTCTTGCCTGCGAGGTTATTTCATATTCAAATAACACCAAATGTGTCTCAAGACGCCCCACACCCGAGATATGAATTCAGGAGCGTGCTGTGTTTTGCTAGAATATTGGTATCTAGGGTGTGTTCTACATGTAGTAGGGCGTCGTCAAAACACCCTGGAACATCCGTAAGCTGCACAGGGGGTCACTCGGCTGATCCATAAGACTGCTAGTAAGTGATAAGATAAGATCCGCTAGGTGATAAGACGAGACTAACCGACCTAGGTAATGATAAGAGTGCGCATGATGTGCGATAAGATGATATCGCGATAAGATAAGATAAGACCTCCCACTACCGCGGCGTTGTTCTATTGACGTATTCCAGGTGCGCCCGTTCAAAATCGTCAGCATTTCTCGCTCAGACTGAATTTGAGCCTGAACTCTGTTGCGGTGGTTTTGGTTTTTGGGAGCAAGCGCTGCCGAGCAACAAGAATTTCAAAGCCAACACACAAAGACATGTAGACACCTTCCCTTCCCACCCGAACCCCTCACCCAAATATTAGTACTACTACAGAAATTACACCCAACATCCTTTCTTCTTGACGTAGCAGTTCGGGTGCGGGCAGTGTTCGTGTGGCTATAGGAGGTACATGTATGTACCCGCGGGTGCCGGAAAGTGATGCAACGCTTGACCTAGCAACGCCGAAATGTACTCAGAACTTCAACTTTTAACACAACACAATGCTTGGACAGGATAGATATTTTAGTCATACCCATGATAAATGAGTCTCTAGAACAGAGTCTGCAGTTTTTCAGGTCATTGGTTTGGGGTTTTTAGCCTGGGGAAGGACAACTTGTGAGAAAAGACAGTAATAAAAGGAGAAGCAACAGTCAACCACATCAACTCTCGCCATAACTATGGTCTCCAGCTTCTAAATTACCATAGATTTGCTCCACATTCTATTAGCTAGTTTGGTTGTTGAGAAGTGTGGGCTATTTGACTGTTGCATTACTTTCCGGCACCCCTAGGTACATATGTCTACCCATATTCTTATGGTTCAACTGGCGTCCGTTAACGTCAATCTTTGGTAGTATAGTGGTTAGTATACTCGCTTGTCAATCGACAACCCGCGAGTGACCGGGGTTCAATTCCCCGCCAGAGAGTAAGATGGGCTGTATAACAACCTGTGTTACACATTCCATCTCGGTGCGTTCTTTTTGAAATTTTATTCACTTTTTTGGCGTTGGGGTTGGTGGGGGAATCGATGAAAGCTGTTAGGTGGATTGACAACCGGAGTGCCAAGACAGATGTGCCAAGCATTAATGAGCCTCACGAAAGCGCGCAGGATATCAAAAAAAAAAAAAGAACCAAAAGTTCACAACACCGCCTATAGGCCTCGGTTGCTACGTCTTTTCTACGTCCGGTCCTGGTGGGGGTTGAACGCTCACGAGTTCGGTACAGAGTGTGAGCTCTATACTGCTGGGCCACGTCCAACCCCATGTTCATATTGTTTCCTTTGGTGCTGTTAGCTCCATGGGGGGGCTCGTACGTACGCTACTAAGCTTGGCGATGTCACAGTGTTATCCTTATCAGGGTGGCTTGAAGAGGCCGGATGCGGACTCAGCAAAGAACAACGAGTGATACCCTATGACACGAACACCGATAAGGGGCAGTTTAGTAAAAGGTTATAAGACACGTTACAACAGCTACGTGGTTGTAACTATGTGGCCAAACCTGATCGCAAAGTGACGGCGCTTTATAAACCAATTCTACCACTGGGGAGGTCGAGAGTTGAGATAGGAAGTTGAAGTTGGGAAATGTGTTTCTACGCGGTTACTAATCAATTTATGAAAGGCGAGAAAACCCACCCCCGGAAAACGTCAGTGTTGCGATAAATTGCTTACGGCAAAGAGAACCAATTCGTTCGTCTAGGCCGGCGCTTGTTGGAGGTTGCAACACTCGCTACCTTTGGAGCTGATATGTACAGCCACTCTGCAAAAGTGTTCGTGATTGCGATTTCGGAGTGAGACATTTCTCCATATGTAACCACGGCGGACCATCAAGAACCCCGCCAAGTGAAGACTTTCCCAGTGACCAATGGCGCCCAAATTAATGAAGAATAAGATCAATGACCTATCTTCTTTTTATACGTAGTCACAAACTATATTATATATTTTTCGTTGTTTTGAACCTCAACTTTAATTTAATAACATCAGTATTACGGGTGCGCCACACTGCGCACTGACATTAAAACCATATCACGAACACTTTTGATGAGTGGCTGTATGGTGCGCACACTCTTAAAGGTGATATGGCGGCATACAGAAGTGGAACAATTGTGGCTGCAATAGAGCCTCGTGGGCCAATAAGAGGGCCCATTTCTAGCCATTCTGCTGCATTACTGCCACGGATCAGTCAGGTGCCCGACGGGCTGGTTAATACTATCGCTGTGGTATTTTTTGTTTACCAGTAACTGGGCACCTCGATACTAACTGCGCATGTGCATAGTTATAGTATCGTATTATATCTCTGCGTAAAGTACAGGCGCTCATTAAAATGCTACCTCGTACATTTTTTATATTTTTTCTGGAGGGTTAGGGTTTGCGACGGCCGACGTTGTGGCGCGTGGCGCGTGGCGCGTGGCGCAAGGTGGGGCTTAGCCTGCAGGCGAATAAGCGCGATTAGACGTTGTTGGCCGGTTATTGTGTTCACTCCTCTTCGACGATGATTCGAAATACGAGAAATGAATAAAAAACTTCAGTCAACAAGAAAACGGGAGCAATGTATTATGATGATGATGATGATGAGAAGACACAAAAGACTAGCTAGAGGTAATCCATGATATGGACACCTAAACACACTGTTGCTGGCGCTATCGCTACGTTTCCCTTTTTTGCGCCTATCTCGGCTAGCCCACGCGTCTACTGTATGACTAATGCTTGACCGTAAATCTGCCCAACAACGTGGTCAGAAGGCTAGAGGCGACGTAAGAAGGAAGCACGCTTAGATTAATGTTTTGCAACTCTTAGACCATCATCAATACATACTCTGTCTTTACTCTAGTTAGTCTACATCAGTTTTGATCGATCGTGATTTATGATCGTTCTAGACTAGACTCTAGTGAAAACGGAAAACAGTCAGCAAGGTCTAACCCCCGCCCTTCCTAGCTTTCTGGGTCTCGGCCGGGGTGTGTAACCTCTGAAGAGTGCGTAGAGGCGCGGCTTAGTATTAGTTATTCATGTTATGATGACAGTGTGTGTTTCTGGCAGGCTCCTGTGTATACCATCATGCTGCAGGCTGCAGTACCGATTATCGCGAGT